GATTTCAGTTGTTTCAGAGGTTTGGGAAGGTTGTACCAATTCTGAAGAACAGTGAAGGTAAAGTTTCTGGAAATAAATGTAAATAAACAAATGAAACTAAAAAATAGATATCAGTTGTTTTAGAGGTTAAGGAAGATCGTTCCACATGTGAAGAACAGCGAAGATAAAGTTTCTGCAAATAAGTGTTTCTAAAAATTTGATTTCAGTTGTTTAAGAGGTTTGGGAAGATCATTCCACCTCTGACAAACTATAGCAATATAACATGAATATTTTTTGGAGGTTACCAAGAACATATTTCAATTAACACAATACTTATTTCACTTAAAACAAGTTTTGTGTGGTATGCCTTTAATTAACGGAAGTAAAACATGAATGTGTATGTATTTTATCAACATTAACACAGTTTATTAAAAGCAATTATACATATTTAATGCTTTAAATATGCTAACAAAAGAGTCAATTTTACATTTGTTTTTTTTTCTATTCAATTTCAATGTAAACTGTCAATGAATGTACATATACTGTTTTTGTGTACATTGTTTCAGATAATCATAAATAGTACATTTTTGCTTTGCATACATTAGTTCAGATTTTTTCATGAAGATCAAAAGGGCCATTATTGCAATTTTTAAACAAATGTGCTGATGTTTTTTTTTTTTAAGTATATGGTAGCTTGCATAAAAGCTCTGCCTGAAATATCACAAAATGGAAATATAGGGTTCAAAATGAGAGACCAGCTAAAATTAGGGCAGTTTTGACTCCTCTTGAGACCAAATCTCTCTCTGTCTGTGTATTTTTCTCTCTTGTTTGCTGTTAGTATTGACCGTTATCTATGTTCCATCTCAAAAAGCGGAACTTTTTAGCTCTGTGAACTTCACCAAGAAATACCTCAACACAATCGCATGGCATACAATTGATTTATGAAGAAATAATGTGTGTAGATCTCTCTTGATATGTGCTTGTGTCTCTAGGTTTTCTTCTGATTTGTGGGAAAAATGCATGAAGAGTCACTTAAGAGTTATATAAAATACTTTTTACTTTAATTGAGAATCTGATCCAGTGTAGTCAGTCATTTCATTTGGATGGTTTGTTTGAATAAGTTTTTAATCTATTCCCTTTTTTTCACTGGAAAATTATGAGTTATTATCACTTTAACACTGTAAAACCTGTGAAATCAGAAAAATAGCAATACTGAATAATGGGACAGTTTATTGAACCTTTAAACAAATAACAAATTTTGCATATGTGCTTTTGTTGGGGTAAATTTGATTTAGGCTTTGGAAATAAATATTGAACAGTTAAAGTAAAGGTTCTGGAAATAAATGTTCGTCAAAACATGAGATTTTAGTTGTTTTAGAAGTTTTGGAAGGCCATCGCAACTCTGAAGAACAGTAAAAGTAAAGGCTCTGAAAGTAAATGTTCCTGAAAAAAAAAATCATTTTTAGAGGGTTAGGATGATCGTTCCACTTCTGAGGAACAGTGAAATATTAGGTTCTGGAAAGTAAAAATGAGATATCAGTTGCTTTAGAGGTTTGGGATGATCGTTCCACTTCTGAGTACCAGTGACAGTTAAGGTTCTGGAAACTAACAATGAGATGTCAGTTGTTTTAGAAGTTTGGGATGATTGTTTCACTTCTGACCAACAGTGAAAGTTAAGGTTCTGGAAATTAAATATGAGATATCAGTTGTTTTAGAGGTTTGGGATGATCACTTTCCCTCTGAGGAACAGGGAAAGTTAAGATTCTGGAAACTAGGTTTTAGAGGTTTGGGATGATCATTCCACTTCTATAGTAAAATAAAAGGTTTCTCAAAAATTTAGATTTTAGTTGTTTTAAATGTTTGGCAAGATCATTCCTCTTTGGAAGAAAAATGAAAGTTAAGGTTCTGGAAACTAAAAATGAGATTTCAGTTGTTTTAGAGGTTTTAATAGATCATTCCACCTTTGATGAACAGTGAAAATTAAGGCTCTGGAAATAAATGTTCCTCAAAAATTAAGATTTTAGATTTTTAGCAAGTGTTCATCCTAAAATATATCTTAAATTTAGGCATTGTTCTTAAATGTAATCTTTAAAAATCAAGTCAACGTTTAACAGCCCTTTAGTTCCACAGAAAAGCCTTCCACTTGCTAAAATAAAAAGACTGTCAGACAAAGAAAGGCATGTAGTTTGTTTAAGTTTTTGTAAATATGTTGATTGTTTGGTGGTATTACAAAAGACGAAAAAAAATCTTACTTTATCTGTAAAGAACAACCCAGGCTTATTGGAAATATGTGCCTCAGTCTACATTTCTTTGTGAAAAGTAAAATAAGTGGTTTTGAGTGCATTTCGTTGCATGTTTCGAATGAGTTTAAACAAATACAAATACATTAGAGGATGCTGTCTACATATTTTGCTACTCTGAAATAAGTTGCTTAGAGTACGTGTTTTTATATATATATATATATATATATATGTTTCAAATACACATCCTTCTTGTACACAACTTGTCCCTGTACATATCACTAGTCTAGAAAGAACAAAATGTGTTGGTGCCATACTGCCCCCTAGTGTTTATTACACCTGAAACTTCATTCACATGTCCGTTAAAGTGGAAAGAAAAAAAAGTGGTTACACAAGAATGTTGACTGAAGCACATATTTCCACAGAGCCTGCGTCTGTAGAGAAGATTGAAAAATTGTCTAAATAAGATGACTTTTATTGCCTCGAGCTCTGTACGGTTGACCAATGACACAGATAAACCTCTCAACACTCGTATCTTAATGACCGCGAGGTCACTGATACTTTATTGCACAATTAAATGGCCCGAGAATCTTCTGCCAGAGGAAACTACTAAAGTCATCCTCTATCCAAGAATACTGGGGAATTGTGTTTTTGTGGAGAAAGTGTGTTGTAATGACCTCTAAAACCTCTCGAGCCATGAGCAAAACCTCTGCCCTCACACACATACACACACACACAGACACACACACAAACACACACACCCTATTAATACTTAATGCAGCACCTTGCCTTGACCTCAGTCTCAGAGCACCTTTTACTGCTCACTGGCTGAAATGACTTCACTAACCGGCTGAAATCAAGGCCGGTGTGTGATGAATGTGAGCTTTAGACACACTACACACATAATCAGGTTTTCATACACTGGCCAGTGTTGAAATATCGGGCGTATTGGTTTTCGTAAGTCAGATTCCTGGATGGAAAACATGCAAAATGAGCACATCAACTGTTTATATCATTACACTCTGTCCATTTGCATATTTCATTTAGAATACAGTTAACCTAATAAATCTAGTTAAGTTTTTACATTGCCCTTTAAGCTGAATACTAGTATCTTACTACAGTATATACTATATTATATTTTGCATTATGTTATTATTGTTACTATGTTCTTGACAATACTTTGTTCTGTCATCATGGCAAAGACAAAAGAAATGAGTTATTAGAAATTAGTCTTTAAAACTATTATGTTTTAAATATTTATTTTCATTAAACAGCACTTGGGGGATATTTTAAATAATGAAAATTATTCTAATGAATAATTTTGAATTCAATTAACTGTACATATCTTTGAATGCCATTGGATTTCATTTAATTTCTACAGTATCTTTTTAAGTAACCCTGTAATTACATGGTGATTCTTTTTTTTCTTTTTTTCTTTTTTGCAATCAATGTTTACTTATTTATGAGGCAAAATTCGAAATACCTTCTGTAAAAAAAATAAAAATAAAATCTGCTAAAATCTTTAGTTTTTCAGATTCTGTTCTGCAATTGAAGGCATATTTGTGTGCCACATTTAATTAGACAATGCCTTGTTTATAAAGTTTAACAAAATATGTACAAAACTGTAAATATCTATCTATATTTATTGTAATTAATATAACAGAGCAAATGCATTAGAAATATGTGCTTCAGCCTACATTTTTGTAAAACCTTAAAAAGTACTTGAAGATATGTTTGACTGCAATTTCAGGTGAAATGAACACTAGGGGGGCAGTATGACGATATCAAATTTTGTTTCTTTTCACACTAATGATATTTACAGGGGTATATTATTGACAAATACAGAATTTTTTTCATGCAGTTTTTTTGCGCAACATCAAATAAACACCTCAAAACTACTTAAAAGTGGGTATGATTTGTAAACTAAAACATTTGTGTCATTGTGCTATTTACAAAAATAGTTAACACGGTGTCAAAACTTACAGAAGTTAACTGACAATAGACCAGTTAGATAGAACGTCATTTGAATTCAAAATCAAATGTACGTCTGAATGCTTTAGGAGACATAAACATACTTCATTATAGGTTTGACTGCAGTTTCTATGTAGAATATATATTAGGGGCAGTATGACAGCAAATTGTATTCCTTTTCACACTAATGATAAGTATTAGTATCAGGGGCATATTATCGACAAACAAAGTATTCTTTTCATGCAATTCTTTGCAAAAAAACATCTCAAAACAACTTGATGTCCATGACTTATAGTTGAATACTTTTGTGTCACATCTGTCTCCATATGGTCAACTTTTCTGGTATGGTTAGTTTACTCAGTAGCTCACCTTGTATGGCTGTGCTTTTGCTGCAGAGTGCTCAGGTTTGAGTACGGTGAAGCGCTTTTGAAAAAACTATGTTTGCTTTTGAAAACACTATTGGTTGGGTTTGGGGAAGGACTTAGATCAGTGGACCTTCTCCTGGAAGTGTAGAAGAAGCACATGTATCTGAAATTTGTATCATAACATACTCAAAAGTGTTTCAGATTCACAAAAATGTAAACTCTGGTCTCTAGTGGATTTGTCATCTGAAATGTGCAACGTACACAGAGCAATGTATTTTATGCTTCGCAAAAATGTCGGCATGTATTTCTGTATGAACCAAATTGATTGACCAAGATTTTTTTTTTTTTACTCTGCATCTATGGTGTTTGACCTGTCAATCTAAATGGTGGGTTTAAAATGAAGCTTTTTGTCATCTGTTTACAAGGATTTGTCTTGTCTTTGCAGGTCATTATGGAAAAGAAAATTTCCGCAGTGGTCAAGACATGCACAACTTCATCTCGTCAGGCTTCGTGACACTCGGCAGAGGACATCTGAAAGGTATGTAAGAAACATTCATTCATGCAGTGACCCTGAATGGATTCGGATAAAAAAAATATTAAAAACCGTGCATTCACATGGCTTATCCTTAAAAACTGGTTACCCTGATGTAGGCAGTTCTTTATGAAAGACAGCTCTACGCGAAACCCGAATGTTTTTTTAAGGATTAGACATGTGGATAAAGTCTTTTTAATATTTTTTTTCCAAATTTTTCAAATGCCTTGGACTGATTTTTGCTGTTTCCAAATACAATCAGTGTCTGATGAATGCCTTACCCAAAGAGCACCGACACATTATTAAAGTTACCCCTGAGCCCTTTTTGTTTGATTTTGTATTTGGATACATTTTAATGTCTTGGCATATATTTAAAAATTAAAAAAGTAAAATAGATATTTAAAATTACACTAAATTACCTAAATTTTACACTAAATTACCTAAATTGAAAACTGAAATAGTAAATGTTTTAATACTACTACTACTACTACTAATAATAATAATAATAATAATAATAATAATAATAATAATAATAATAATAATAATAATAATAATAATATCATAAAACTTTACTACTTGAATTGAAGCTGAAGTAAAATGGTCTAAATATTATTATTTTTAAAATGATTTCTAAATCCTGAACTAAATTTAGCAATATGCATGGCAACCAACTCCAAAAAAGCTAAACATCAACATTTCATTCATCAGTGTTGTAATTATGCACTGATACTTTACAGCAATCATTTTCTATACTTAAAATATCATATAATATCAAATAATATATAATTATTAGCCTAAGTAACATAATTTTTACATAAGAACTTAACAAATAACTTTTGTTATTTATAAAATTACAACAAAATGTAAAGGAATAAGCTTTATGTTAAATTAATAAAATTGATAAAAAAAAAGTCAAACAGTGTTAATATTATTTATTAGGTGTCATCGATCAGGGGTGCATTTGGCAAAACCATTGTCTCCCAAGTTCTGTCGTTACAAACAAAGTTTATTGATTTGCCATTTCCCAAATCCATCGCTCCAATGAACATTCACAAACTGCGTTGCAAACTTGAGGACTCGCAGCTACAGCTCTGTAGCTTTAGTTAGAAACATAGTTCCTGGCTGTGTTCTATTCCCACTTATCCCCCTATGCCCTATTCATTTACAACATTCTAACATTCAAAGTTGGAATTATTAAAAATAAAAAAGCATTAAAGTCTCTCTTAAGTATAATTTGCTTCCAAACTATTTTACAGTTCAGTTTTAGCGACCTTCATGTTTACATCTGTGCTCCCTTCGCAGTGCACTTTGAAAACATTGATGTCATTTTCAACAGCCTTATGGCGAAAGCTACAGGTGACCTATTATTTAAAAGCGAAATTTATGTTATGTCTCCAAAGCTTGTGAAAACAAAAAGCATACGTTAACTCTTTTAATTTATAGTGGGTTATTTATTAAGTATCTGTACTGTATATGACATGGGCCTGCTCGTTAAAACTTTCTGCAATGTTTTACATGTGTCAAATTGTTAAAGTAGACTTTTACATTTTTTTTAAATAAACAAACAATATCCTACTTAATAATAATAATAATAATAATAATAATAATAAGTATTATTATTATTATTAGTAGTAGTAGTAGTATTAGTAGTAGTATTAGTATTACTGTTATTATCATATTATTATTATTATTATGGTGGCTTGAAAAGCCAACATACTGTTATCTCACTTAAACTTATTAGGCTGGCTTGTCAAAGCCAACCTACTGTTATCCTATTTAAACTTATTATTAGGCTGGCTTGTGTAGCAAGCCAGACTACTGTTATCCTATTAAACTTATTATTATGGTGGCTTGAAAAGCCAACATACTGTTATCTCACGTAAACTTATTATTATTCTTCTTCTTCTTATTCTTCTGAGACTAATTTCTAAGTGTATCTCCTCCTAAACTTTTCAAGCTTCATACTTCAAACTTTCGTCAAACCTTCAAACTGGTCTGACTCGGGTTGCTATATCCTTTCCGACTGATCCGACTTTTGGTTTTCCGAAAAACGACCCGGAAAATTCCCAAAATTCCCATTGACTTAACATTGGGTCAAACTTTGTGACCTCATAACTCTGCATCAGACTGTCCTACAGACTTCTAACTGGGCTCATTTAACTCAGTCTAGCCAGCAGCCAATAACTGATGACCTTTTAACTTACTAGCCACTCCCTAGCAACCACTTTTGGCACCCTAGCAACTGTCCCATAGACTTCCATTGTAAAAGACTGCCATTGACTTAACATTGAGTCAACCTTTGTGAGCTCATAACTCTGCATCAGTCTGTCTGTCCTACAGACTAGAGTCAGGCCTCATTCAACTCAGTAGCCAATCACTGATGACCTTTAGACTTACTAGCCACTCCCTAGCAACCACTTATGGCACCCTAGCAACTGTCCCGTAGACTTCCATTGTAAAAGACTCTCATTGACTTAACATGGGATCAAACTATGTGAGCTCATAACTCTGCATCAGACTGTCATACAGACTAATGGCTGAGCTCATTTAACTCAGACTACCAAACTGCCAATAACTGATTAGCTTTTAACTTTCTAGCCACACCCCTAACTACCACATACTGCACCCTAGCAACTGTCCCGTAGACTTCCATTAAAATAGGCCAAGATGCATATCTTTGCAAAGCAGTGTCATAGAGACATGGGGGTTGGTTCTTTGACTAAGACAACCAACCACATTCAAGTTCACTCTGTAACCTCGCCCATAGCAACAAAACAGAATACCCTAGCAACCATTCATCAACAGCTATATCTCAGCATCAGAACATCGTAGAGACTTGGAGATTGGCTCGTTTGACTCATGCTAGCAAACGGAACTTCCTATATGCTACACATGCTAGCAGTGACTAGCTACATGCTAATATTGACTAGCCAAGTACTGTAACTTGCTAGAAATGCTTACTAAGTATAAATGTTTTATCAAGCATGTATGTGAGGCTTGCCTAGTAACCAACCAGGGTACCCTAGCAACTGCCTAGCAACCACCCAAATTACCCTAGCAACCGCCTAGCAACCACCTAGCAACGGCCTAGTAATGCCTTAGTAAGGGCCTAGCGACCACTCAGGACACCCTAGCAACCGCCTAGCAACGCCTTAGCAACCACTCAGAATACCTTAGCAACCACCTAGCAACACCTTAGCAACCACCTAGCAACCACTTGGGACACCTTAGCAACCGCCTAGCAACACCTTAGCAACCACCTAGCAACCACTCAGAACACCCCAGCAACTGCCTAGCAACGCCTTAGAAACCACCTAGCAACCACTCAGGACACCCTAGCAACCGCCTAGCAACACCTTAGCAACCACCTAGCAACGCCATAGCAACCACTCAGAATACCCTAGCAACCATCTAGCAACCACTTAGGACACCTTAGCAACCACCTAGCAACACCTTAGCAACCACCTAGCAACCACTCAGAACACCCTAGCAACCGCCTAGCAACACCTTAGCAACCACCTAGCAACCACTTAGGACACCCTAGCAACCGCCTAGCAACACCTTAGCAACCACCTAGCAACACCTTAGCAACCACCTAGCAACCACTCAGAACACCCTAGCAACCGCCTAGCAACACCTTAGCGACCACCTAGCAACCACTCAGGACACCCTAGCAACCACCTAGCAACACTTTAGCAACCACCTAGCAACCACTCAGGACACCCTAGCAACCACCTAACAACGCCTTAGCAACCACTCAGAATATCCTAGCAACCACCTAGCAACCACTTAGGACACCTTAGCAACCACCTAGCAACACCTTAGCAACCACTCAGAACACCCTAGCAACCGCCTAGCAACACCTTAGCAACCACCTAGCGACCACCTTGCAACACCTTAGTAACCACTTAGCAACTAGTCAGAACACCTTAGCAACTGCCTAGCACCACCTTAGCAACCACTCAAAACACCCTAGCAACCGTCTAGCAACACCTTAGCAACCACTCAGAACACCATAGCAACCGCCTAGCAACATCTTAGCAACCACCTAGCAACCACTCAGAATACACTAGCGACCACCTTGCAACACCTTAGTAACCACTTAGCAACTAGTCAGAACACCTTAGCAACTGCCTAGCACCACCTTAGCAACCACCTAGCAACCATTCAAAACACCCTAGCAACCGTCTAGCAACACCTTAGCAACCACCTAGCAACTAGTCAGACCACCTTAGCAACTGCCTTGCACCACCTTAGCAACCACCTAGCAACCACTTAAAACACCCTAGCAACCGCCTAGTAAAATGCTAATTCATGCTAGAATCATGCTAACAACATGCTAATTCATGCTAGAATCATGCTAGTAACATGCTAATTTATGCTAGAATTATGCTAACAACATGCTAATTCATGCTAGAATCATGCTAGTAACATGCTAATTCATGCTAGAATTATCCTAGTAGCATGCTAATTCATGCTAGAATCATGCTAGTAACATGCTAATTCATGCTAGAATCACGCTAACAACATGCTAATTCATGCTAGAATCATGCTAGTAACATGCTAATTCATGCTAGAATCATGCTAACAACATGCTAATTCATGTAAGAATCATGCTACTAACATGCTAATTCATGCTAGTAATATGTTAATTCAAGCTAAAATCATACTAACATTCTATTTACACTTTAAAACCACTTCAAACTTTCAGATTCGGCTTTTCAAGCCACCATAAAGTTTGTCCTCAAACTTTAATATCTAGTTATTTTTATTATTAATATTATTATTCTTCTTCTGAGACTAAAAATTAAACTCTATCTCCACCTAGACCTTTCAAGCTATGACCATCAAACTCGGGTCAGACCTCCAAACTATTCTGACTCGAGTTGCTATATCCTTTCCGACTGATCCGACTTTCGGTTTCCCGAAAAACGTCCCGGGACCGTCGGAAAAATCCCATAGACATAACATTGGGTCAAACTTTGTGACCTCATAACTCCGCATCA